ACGGGATGTGCCAGGGGAGGCGCCACACGACGTGCCAGGGGGACTCGCCAAGGGACGCCCCACGGAACGTGCCAAGGAACGTGCCAAGTTGCAAGTTGCAATGCTGAGTGTATCGAACTTGATGTACCGTGCCGAAGTCTGTGCTGTGCTGCGCCGTGTTGAATTGCGATGTGCCATGCCGCGATTGTGCTCTATAGCGTCGTGGATCGAGTCCTCCTTTGCATCCGAGTCCGGACCGAACTGTTCTGGATCTTAAGTTCGAGCTGCCTGAACACATAGTAGCTGCCCCAGAGCTAATTGACAGGGGGACATGCCAGGAGGACGCGCCGCGGAACGCCCAAAGGGACGCGCCAGGCGACGTGCCAGGGGGCGTGCCATGGGGACGCACCGCGGGACGTGCCAAGCGGACGCGCTACGGAACGTGCCAATGGACGTGCCACAGGACGTGCCAGAGGACGCGCCGCGCGACGTGCCAGGGGGACCTGCCACAGGACGCGCCACGGAACGTGCCAGCCGCCTGGGCGACGAGGACGCGTGAAACCAAGCGTCTCGCTCGAGACGTCCTCAACAAATTCTGGCGCTGGACCTCTGCCTGGGCAACCTGGAGGCGTGAAACCAAGCGTCTCGCTCGAGACATCCTCAAGACCTGGGCACGTGAAAACAAGCATTTCACTTGAGAGATCCTCTGAATTCGGGTTCCCAGGAGAGGACAGCCTATAACACAAAACAAGCGTTTCGCTCGAGACAACCTCAATCAATTATGAAAAACAAGCTTTTCGCTCGAGAGATCCTCAAGAATAATTCCGCCGGCCCTAGGCGACCTCGTTATTTATCGCGAAGAATTCCGCCGGCCCTACAGCCGTCGATTCCGGGGGTAAACCTCTAGAGGAGAACCCTGGGCCCCCGCCCTTTCCGGGAAAAAGACCAGGAGCACGGCAGAAGAGACCCCAGGAGCTAAGGAGCAGGGCTGAATATGCCCCAAATGCGAAGGAGCACGGCAGAGAAAGACCAGGAGCACAGCATAATAGACCCCAAAAGCTGAGGAGCACGGCAGAAAATGACCAGGAGCACGGCAGAATAGGCCCCAAGAGCGAAGGAGCACGGCAGAAAAAGACCAGGAGCACGGCAGAATAGACCCCAAGAGCTAAGGAGCATGGCAGAATAGGCTACAAGAGCGAAGGAGCAAACCAGAGAAAGACGAGGAGCACGGCAGAAGAGCCCTCTGGGGCCACGAAACACTGTACTGGGTGGGGGAGACGAATGCGAACTGCGCCACTGGGATTTTAGGCGGAGCTCCCTATGGAGCCACGAAGCGCAGTGCTGGGTGATGATGATGACGACAACAACGAGAACATGTGGAGGGCAGAGGCAGGGACAGGAGGAGGGAGGAGGGGACAGCGGGAGCAGTGAGAATGCGGAGCGCTGTCTCTTCAAAACGGGGACCCAACACCACAGGATGGCTGGGAAATAAGCAAGTAAAGCACAGACAAACAAACAAACAGAAAGCAAAGAAACTATCCCAACAACACAACATACATAAGAGATAACCCACATGATTCAATGAAACATGCGAACCGCCAATCTCAATTTAATTTGATAGTTCAGAACAGCCGAAAATTCCGAGCATAAGGAGACGACGGGTTATATATATATATATATATATATATGAATTCACACACTAGAACAACGCGCGCATTTCCGCGCGCGCTAGGGTTCTAGTCGCAGCTGCGCTACGTTTTCCGGCTCTCGCTTTCGCTCGTCTGACCGGCGACATTGCGAAGTCCGCTGCATGTGCGCGTTGCTGAATATCCATCCGCCTCGGACCCCTCCCCCTCCCCCTTCCTCATCATCGTCCTCTTCCTCCTTCCCGTCCTCCTCCTCCTCATCCTCCCCGTGCTCCTGCTCCTGCTATCCCTCCTCATTCCCTCCTCCTCCTCCTCCTCCTCCTCCTCCTCCCATTCATCTCACCGCGGCTCCGCGAGTCACATCCCACCACCCCGCCGATCATTGCCCGCCATCAAGGATGGCCGGTCGGATGTATTGATGTATTGCGGAATGCGTCCATGCACCTACTGCGCCCATGGCCTCCACAACACCGTCGATCTCGCCAAGGCTCCACCGCGAGGCTCCGCCCTAGCAAACATGATCGACCGACGAACCCAGAAAGGAACATAGAACTGCAACGCATGGCAACGTTTTCAAAGACACCTGATTGGGTGACGGGCAAATGCAATGCTAAGTGTATCAATCTTGATGTACCCTGCCGAGGGCTGTGCTGTGCTGCACCGTGCTGAACTGCGATGTGCCATGCCGCGATTGTGCTCTATAGCGTCGTGGATCGAGTCCTCCTTTGCATCCGAGTCCGGACCGAACTGTTCTGGATCTTAAGCTCGAGCTGCCTGAACACATAGTAGCTGCCCCAGAGCTAATTGACAGGGGGACAGGCCAGGAGAACGCGCCGCGGAACGTCTCAAGGGACGCGCCAAGCGACGTGCCAGGGGACGTGCCATGGGGGCGCACCGCGGGACGTGCCAAGGGGACGCACTACGGAACGTGCCAATGGATGTGCCACGGGATGTGCCAGGGGACGCGCCACGCGACGCGCCAAGGGGACTCGCCAAGGGACGCCCCACGGAACGTGCCAAGGAACGTGCCAAGTTGCAAGTTGCAATGCTGAGTGTATCGATCTTGATGTACCCTGCCGAGGGCTGTGCTGTGCTGCGCCGTGCTGAATTGCGATGTGCCATGCCGCGATTGTGCTCTATAGCGTCGTGGAACGAGTCCTCCTTTGCATCCGAGTCCTGACCGAACTGATCTGGATCTTAAGCTCGAGCTGCCTGAGCACATAGTAGCTGCCCCAAAGCTAATTGACAGGGGGACAGGCCAGGAGGACGCGCCGCGGAACGTCCCAAGGGACGCGCCAGGCGACGTGCCAGGGGGCGTGCCATGGGGACGCACCGCGGGACGTGCCAAGGGGACGCGCTACGGAACGTGCTGGGGACAAGCGTTTCGCTCGAGACATCCTGTCAAAAGCCTCATGCTAGACATCCGCCTGAGCGACCTGGACACGTGCAAACAAGCGTTTCGCTCAACACACCCTCAACACATTCTCATGCTAGACATCCGCCTGGGCAAACTGGACACGTGAAACACAAGTGGTTCGCTCGAGACATCCTCAACACATCTTCATGTGAGACGTCCGCCTGGGTGACCTGGGCACGTGAAAACAAGCGTTTCGCTCGAAACGTTTTCAACACCTCCTCATTCTAGACATCCGCCTGGGCGACCTCGTTATTTATCGGAAAGAATTCCGCTGGCCCTACAACCGTCGACTGCGAGGGTAAACCCCTAAAAGAGAACCCTGGGCCCCCGCCCTTTCCAAGAAAAAGGCTCGATCTCGCCAAGGCTCCACCGCGAGGCTCCGCCCCAGCACAAACGGCGATGTGCTGCCCTAGTCACAGACCAAGAAGCTGGAGAGTACTTGTGGTCTGCCAAATTCCCTGTCACAGGGTGTGCCCAATTCCCTGTCACAGGGGGTGCTCAATTCCCTGACAAAGCGGGGCCAAATTCCCTGACACAGGGGGGCCAACACGTATCACCAGAACATATCGCGCTGTTAAAAGAACCACTGTCGCAAGAATAACTCTCGTATCGAACGAACCACCCTCTCGTACCACAAGAACGACTCGTCCTTGTCATACGAACAACCCACATAATTGTAAGAACAAACAACTTTGGGGTTCCGGAGCCTCCAAGACGGCCGAGGCAGGCAGCCAAGGTCGCCAAGATGGTCCAATATGCTTCCAAGACGGCCCAAGATGGCCCAAGACGGCCAAAGTTTTCCTCAAGACGGCCAAAGAGGCCCCAAAGACTGCCCAAGAGGGCGACCAGAGGACCTCCAGTGGGGCCCGAAGAGACTCAAAGCATTGATTTCGCACTGGGTTGGCACTCATGTTCGCGTTCTCGCCTCTGCGGGACGGGAGCTCCCCAAAGAAGTGAAGACGGAATACGCCACATGTGACGGCATTCCTCGTCCTCCTCGTCTTCCCCGTCGCCATCATCCTCGTCATCCTCATCATCCTCATCATCATCACGGCTCTCCCAAGCCTGGGGACACGAGGTGTCACGCCGCACCCTCTCGAACAGACGCCACCCAGAATGCTGGGATAACACGGAGGCGGGACTTGCCGCAAGCATCTGGACATCGGTGCATCGAATCGGATGGAGCCGGCCAGAATCGACGTCGAATCGGATGGAGCCGGTAGACATGGGCCCTGTCGTGGTCGGGGGCGGGGATGTCATCTGGAGGCGGAGTGCCTAGAACGACGACGACCTCGCTGGCATACAGCAAGCGGGTTCTGAGGGAAACGGGTTCTGGAGAGAGGTTGACGTATCAGATGACAAAGTTCAATGGGTGTTCGTCTGAAATCGCGAATGGTGGAGGTCATAGGGCGTACCTAAAACTGGTGGCGCCAGGCGTATGGTGCCCATCATTGGGTTGTGTAAGGCCCGGTGCCCTTCGATGCCCACCTCGTCCCGTCCACAGAGACTTCGCACCTCCCCCTATGATGGGGAGATGGGTGGACGGGCCGCCCCCCCTGGCGTCGCAAGTACTGCGCCAGCCAGGGGTGGTGGGAATTTGCAAGGATCGGTATTGACTCCCTCCCACCAGTGCCTTCCCGGGGACACGAAATCCCGTGAAGGCCCCCCCAGGGATGACCCTACCCCCGGGATGAACAACTCAAAGGCCCCTGCCTGGTTTGTCCGATGCCCCAAAGGCCCCCCCACGGATTCCGCCACGGCTTATGAAAACAGAGCTGCGGCTGCTGCTGCTGCTGATGCTTGGCTTCGACGTGAAATCGCGGATAGGCCAGCGCACGCAAACTAGCCAGTACAGCAGGGTCAACGATACAAAGTGGAACGTGCAAACTTTTCGCGTGCACGAGCATACTTGTTGCGTGAACAACCATGCTTTGGCTAGAATGGTCTACGCTCCCAGG